TCCATCCTCCATCCATCATCCATCATCCAAGAAATTTGCAGATATTCGAGGAACCCACAAAGCGGCAGTGCTTCGCGCGTTTTCCGGCAAGCTAAGCATCCGGCTCGTCCTGAAAAGCCTCCGTGTCTCCGAGGTGCTTCCATCCTTGAGCCGATTGATGAAGTCGGGCATCGGCAAAGGGATGACGCGAGATGACCATCCCAACGTCTCAGACCAGCTCTATGCCAACTATGCCATTGGCCAGGCGATGTTTAGGTGTTCTTGAAGTGTAGTTGTTTTGGTGACGGATATGGGAGGATTGCGGGAGGATAGTATATTTAGTAATATTTAACAGACTTATTCATATTGGAGTGGTCTAGATTCTCCAGACTCGAGACTTTCCGAAGTGGACTAAGGGTGACAGGTGATCCAGGTAGACTCGTATTGATAAGCTCGAGTGCGACTATGGCAGGGCACCCCTTTTTCAACAGAATTACCTGCCAGATTTGACAGGTGATGTGGTAGTTCTTGGAGCATGACATGCCAGGACACCCGCGCCATGAAAGCCGTTGTGGGCGAAGAGGCCCGCGCTTTTCCACAGAGTTGGATACGTTTGTTGACATGAATTGAAATTTCATGGGAGACCTTGAGCGCGATGAGGAGGCAACGAAGCCTAACGAGTGACGCGCAATGTTAAGTATCCACTGACCTACTTTACTTTTGCCATGGCGGATGCATGGCAAGAAGACGAGCATCTTGTGGCTTCGGTGTAATTTCTGCGTGGTTTCTCCGCGCTTCATGCACAAGATTGAGCCAGCAAGTTGTTCCTTTCCTTTGAATCCTTCTCGAGGCCTTAAACGAGGACGAGCCATCCCGGCGTTATTTTACAGTCCTATGAGCGGCTCCCTAAGCCCCAGAGTGATAGCCAGGTGAATCTTTTTCAACAATGTGTTGGCAACTGCTTTTACGTTTGTCATCTAGAATCTAGTATCTATTTGGGATGCCAGTGTGCCAGTGTGCTTTCGCAAGGGTTCTGGCAAATAAGCGAATGACATGCTTATAGATGCGTATAGCTAATATAGGCGGTATGGTGCCCAAATTCCTATGACGGCCCACTCGCCCACGTTTGTGATGCGAGCCTTGCCCCAAAGAAATGCGCCAGGCATAAGTTCCTGGAGTTCACAGATAAGTTTGAGCTGAAGTTCTTGCAGGGGCCCTTAGATGATGCACATGATTGCTCACAATTATGAATTAAACATTATTCCAACAAACATGCACTGACTCAGTTGATACTCAAACAACAACCAGTGAAGTCTTTCGGTCAAACCACTTGTTTGCCAACGTTTGTGGTTCGCCCTTCTGTGCTGTTTTGTAGGGCTGCAGGCTCCAAGAAGGCATGCACCCCGATGCTCGATTCGACTGAGGACCCAGGGCGCTTATGAGAACCGTGATGTCTTTACTTCCTTGGACATCGCCGTGAGCTTAACGCCGTTTGCAAATGGAGTCACCCGGAACTCAGGTGGATCAATTGCAAATACTCCAAAACCAGGTCCGACATCACTCGCAATGTTGATGTCATGTGTTTGCTATACTTATTGCTTTGCCATATACCATACGCCTGCATGCTTGTTCCCCTCGTGGTTTGCTTTCCAAGCAATCAACGTCTTAATGCAAATCAAGAACCCCGGTCACGCTACTGGTGTGCTTCTCAAAAACCTGCTACGCTGCTACACTGCTGCACAGCGGCTTAATAGGTGTGGCAAGAGGTTTGCTCAAGAGCCTGACTATTTCAAGTTGGCGAAGTTTGCAAGACAATGCCCCTCAACACATACCGTCTTTTATACTGATTTATTTACCCCGGCCAACTTGGTTTGGTCCATCCATGTTCCATCCATGTGGGACTCGGGGTACGTCGCAGCAGCAAACTCCAGGCGTGGACCTTGCTCCGGATCTTCCCGCAGGAGTTATTGAAGAAGATTCCGCAGAAGCTGAAGGCAAGCTATAGCGAACTACAGCAAGCTATAGGTAAAGCTTGGGAAAAGAGTCAGATACAGTGGTAGATGCAGTATCAGTATAAGTATATATCATATCATCATGATGGAAAACTCATTAGCATCCTCTTGACCTAGTGATTGACTTGCCTCGAACAATATTTATGAACCCAGAGGGGGCCCGACATGGCTGGTTTTTGGTCTTCAGAGCCCAGCATCACACGTCTGTCACGTCTGTCATGGTCGGTCACGTGTAGCGGAGCTCCGAACCAGATGTTTGGGATGCCCCCGGCATTCCGTATGTTTTGGATGCCCAATGATGTTGGGACGATCAAGAAAAGCACCTTCAGGCCTCCAGGAGCTTTGAACAGTTGAGTTGTCGCCTCTTATATACCAAAACGAGGCTCCTTTTGGGAGAATGTCACCAAGTTTGTAGGTTCTCCATCTTTCTCCACCCGACAGGATTTCGATATATAATGATATATAATGATATATTAAGTATTTTTTATATACTGTATGTGTATTTAGATAGGCGCCCCGCACGGAAACCCATGACCTTTATCTCTAATTGATAATTGCTGCGCATGCGCATCACCCACAGAAAGCAAATTGACCAACGCAAGAGACAACAGAAACCATGACACTGACAACACACAATGACAACATACTGACAGCCGAAAATGACACGGCCGACACAGAGTTCGGCACCAAACAGTGACACGCACACGCACAACGACAAGTCCCAGGATGCCTCACCAGTCGCCCGACCCCACTGATATACCACAGTGTACTACCTGAGCCGGTGGGGACACGAAGTACAGGAATTGCTTCAGATCTCGGTTGATGTTCTTTTGGTTGAACACATCACCCCTTCATCGCTACCCAGTCTTTCGGCAGCGCAAAACGGACCACGTTGCGACTGCAGGTCATCAAGACATTTGTGTTTACTGATCCCTAAGCCTTTCTTGACCACTTCAACCAGCATTTTCGTGGATTATATTATTGGGATCAGTGTCCCAAGAGCTCTGACAGTTGTGTTCTTTATGTGCATGGCATTGTGCGAATCCTGAACTTTGCGGCGTGGGAGCAGTTCCTTTCCCTCACAGAAGCTTGTTCAGGACAAGTACTATGACCGGGAGAAGGAAATCCAAAAGGCTGTGCAATCGCTGAAGTGATTCAGATCCTAGCAGAGCACAGCAAAAATAGAAAATGGATGAACATGGACCAGCAGCCTTCAGAGATCTTAAGCAGGATATTCCTTGCTAATAGCAATCTTAACTCTGAGGCTCCAGTGCAATATGCATCAAGATCCACAATAATCAGACACGCACATACACAGAGAGAGAGACAGCAAAATTCAGCAAAGACAAGAAACACAGAGAACAACTCTGCAATGGCTGGGAGCTGTAGAGACATCAGCCAGCCTGGGAGCGAGTTGAAAGGGTGCATGTGATTTGTTTGACTTCAAAGCAGCGAGGTAGTCGAGGTAGTCGCTCACAATGTTAACTCATGTTAACTTGATTGCACCTCCTCTAAAGGAAAGAATCTTCTGTGCCAGCATCCGGTGCCAGTGAAACTTGGAGGAACTCCAGTCATGCATCCGTGTGTGTGTGTGTGTTGAGACCATGGGGGACCCATTGGAGACCCGCCCGGTGGCCAGCTGGGCCAACAAGCAGTTCCATTCGAGACACTCTGTCGGCTTCGTCGGCTTTGATCGATCCGAACCGTCCAGGAGATCGGAACGCCTGGATCGTGTTCCATCATATTGAGCTTCGGATGATTGTTTGTGGAGGGGTCAAAAGGATCCAAAAAGATCCAGGCATTCCACATCCGATGTCCATCCACATCCGTGGAAACCCCATTGAAAACAACGGTGCCGGTGCACCGGCCACACGCGAGACACCGCCCCTGATCACCCCTGAAAGAGCCTGATGCCGAACCGGGGTGGTGCTTCTGCATGGTGGCCACCTGCGTGCGTTCTGGGAACATTTGCACCCTCCCCCAAGTATCTCCCCCAGTAAAAACCTGGCACCCAGGCCAGAGTTGCATCTTCTCGATCGCATGCCCCAAAAGAAAAGGGCCTTGCCAGAGAAGGCTTTGCGAAAGGGTTGGATTTTTGGAGTCCGTGATCCCCCGAAACTGCAGTTGGTTCAGTTTGGTTTCGGTGACCCAGTGATTGTCAGAGGGTGTCGTTGGTTCTGGCAGCTGAATTGGATCAAACCATGTGCCTTTTGACAAGTCCGCGTTCCACAACTGACGCCACATGTTGTCAGCACGTGCCAGAGAAAACATCTAAGAGATCAAATAGACATCTTCTGACTTCGACGAACAGAAAAAACCACGTATGTCAGTTGCAATTTTCTTCACCGACAGACGGAGACGTTCACAGCGGTGAGGGCGCTCCTTCATGGGAGCGGCGTCCTATGGGTGCATGCAATTCTCATAGATACAGGAGATGGCGCGAGCGTAGCAAGGGTGAGATAGGGTGAGGGTTCTCGAACTGGGGAGGTGTCAGTTTTGAAGCTGCTCCTTTTTCGGTTTGGTCTGTGGAAAGGAGGCCTGGGCTGTACAGAGATGTAAGTAGCTGAGGTGTTCTTGGTGGTGAAAGCAGGACATTTATATATATGTGGGTTCAAAAGAACCTGGCGCGGCACCGCCTGGTGCGGCCGTGCACAAACCTGTCATGGTGGCCTTGGCGTTCGAATGGACCAAACAAATTCAGAACAAACTTGTGCACCCCGAAGGCTGTGACACCCAATGCACACTCTCGTCAGAAGTGTCTCTCATCAAGGTGATGATCTATACCCTACCCTTCAAAGACCCATTCAAAGAATGGTTGACTCGTTGGTGTAGTGTAAAAATCCTAAGTGAAACATAGTGAAACATGGGTTCTTTGGCAAAAGACCATTAAAACCATATGATGGTTCATCCTGGCGGTGTATTACCATGAAACATACACCATACACATTCTTTCTTCGGACAGCCGAAGTGCTGTGTTGCTCCTGTGTTGCTCCGAGGAGCCACCACGTGGTGATCATCAACGACCCCAGGCATCGTCGAATCGTCGGCGGTTTTTATGGCGGCGATACGTGGATGGTGATCGTTGGAAACGATATGGTGACATAGGCAAACAAACACAGAACTAGAAGCGCTAGAAGGCAGAAATCACACAATGCAAAAAAAAGAACGGAACATGGTTTTTTAGTGGATCCCAACTGCCACTTCTTGTGTGTAATTATAGGGTGTCTATCTCTACAAAGGTATTCTTCGGGCAGCACCATCAAGCACGTTCAACTTGGCCAGTGGATGATGGACCTCTTTTTAAAACAGTCATGCCTTCGTGTGAATTGAGAGCAGACTCCATACGACAGGGAGCAGACTCCATACGACTGGAGCAGACTCCATACGACAGGGAGCAGACTCCAGCCGACTGGAGAAGACTGAACATGCCATCATCTGAGTTCCTCATCTCACTGACTAGTCCGTGTTCAGAGCAAGATTCCTCTAAGACTTGACTCACATCCCGGGTTTCCCGAAGGCTGAATCCATCCACGTTTTTGGCATCCCGGGCATCTCTGCGATGCTGAAACCCACCGCATCCATCACTGGAGGCGGCAGAACTTGGATCATGAGTTGCAGGAGGAACTGCAGAAGTTCCCAGACTACTGGGCCCGGATGCCCCAAGCTGCGAAGGACAATGAGTGTTTTGATTGTTTGTCTTTTTAGCCCACTGGCATCCCATCAATTGGCTGCACATCGTTGCGCATGATTGCACATCTATACGACGTCAACGACGCCAGATGCTTGAGTTGTCCACGTGGCTCCACCTGAGGTCACGCGTGAAAGTCCACAACCGTTCCACAATATCGTGGAGTGCGGCACGGAAGAAGTGAGCCATGTGCAGGAGCGATGGTTTTGTTTGGTTTTGGTTGCACACGTCACTGTCGTAGATTCTTGGGGAGGGCATTTGCATTGTTTCCACATGTTTCCATGTGTTTATCCGGATCCAAGAGGTAGTCCTTGGAGATATCCAACATGATCCAATACTGCAGGTTGGACAACGTTCATTTTTGAAACCAATTTAAGTCTTGAGACCTATCGCAACACACTACCCCATCGCCAGAAGCCGGCTTCAGCCGCGTCGAAACCGGTCCGAAGTCGTGGTCCTGGGGCCTGGCCGTTTCGTTGTGGCCGTTGAATCTCGGCCATGCAGTGCACGCGCTTTTTTTTTCGAGCCCAGTGACACCGACCCGGTGGCTCTTCGACCAGTGCGGTGGCTCTTCGATCCACGATCCACGGCGTCACCATGTCCTTTGCTCCGTTCGTAGCGTCCTTGCTCCTACTTGTCATGGGTTTGGCCGGTTCGCACTGTCGGTGAGCGACACTCGGTGGTTGGAGGTACCAGCGTTCCGTTCTACCGTGGTGACGGTGTCAGTGTGGCATCAACGCGGTCACAAATAGTTATATATAGAGAGCGGGTGGTCATGGGGCCTGGGTTTTGGTTTTCCCCAAATTTTAGGTAAATGCTTCAGTGGCAGCCCCTCTCCATATAAACACACATATCTATTCTTGCTCTCACTCTATACGAACAAATATATTATGTATTCCTGAGTCAGGGTAATTTTATTGTTTTGGAAGCAGCAATCAATCATTCAGATGGTTTTGAACAAGATAATTAGAAAAGAAGCAGGCCATAAAAGTGGTCGTTTTAACAATTGTCCTCTAGATCTCTGCTTATAATTATATTTAGATTTGGAAAGATTGTATATAGACGCTTTTATGTTATAAAAGATTCTCTATAGATCTCTGCAGATAATCATGTTTAGATTTAAACAACTATATAGAAACCTTGTATGTTAAAAGCTTTCTTCTAGATTTCTGCGGGCAAGAGCTTGCATTTTCAAAGCTTTCCTCAGGATCTCTGGCAAAGTAGATATCCCACATATATATATATGTATATATGTGTTTTCATGAAAGGAAAGCTCTTGAAAGAAAGACTTATTTATTGATATATAGCATGCTTAAATTGACATGACCATTTCCAGAGATCCAGGGGAAAGCTTTTGAAATGAAAACTTATATATAGTTTTATTGTAATAATGATGATCCCCAGAGATCTAGAGGGAAGCTCTTGAATTAGAAGCTTGGACATACAACATGTTTAATATGTATATATTATCTACAGTGATTACTGACAATAAATAAATCTAACTATTTACTTCAAAAAAGAGTTTTAGTCTTGTTCCCAACACTTCCAGGGCAAAAAATACTGTAAAACACGGGGTTTTGTAGCATATGTTTTCTTAAACTAAATAGGCTAGAGCTAGAATAGAATTAGGTAGAATTAAATTGGATTTGAGTTAGAGCTAAGATAGAACTGAATCAAAACCGAATTTTAACTAAACTTGTATTGAACTATAACTATAGCCTAATTGAAATTGGATGAGAGTTGAATTAGAAAGGAATTGAAATTAAAATTAGAAGTTCGCCAGAATAAGATGTAAACGCTTGAGCTACAAGCACAGAAGTACGCTCGCAAAGATTTCCAACCGTTTCATGTAAAGGACAGAGTGTCCTCGCAACTGCATGTCAAGCTGTTTGGAAATGCAAGTGGCAACCGCATTGATACCAGTCAGCAGTTAATGCACTCAGACTTGTATATGGAGATTTGGACAAGGACAAAGGAAGTGTTGAGCTCAGACGGCTTCAGATGTAAGCAAAAAGAACAGATGCCTTGAGGTGAGAAGTAAGCTCAGATGCTAAACCAAAAAACCTTGAGAAAACAAAAAACAAAAAAAACATTCTGAGAGACTCTTGCTTGGACCCCCCAAAATCAGAAGAATCAGAAAACCAAAAAAACCTTGGGAAAACCTAAAAAACAAAAAAAAACAATTCTGGGGAAGTCTTGAGGACAAGGAGGTCCAGCCAAGAGTCTCTGAGAATTGTGTTTTTTGTTTTTTTTGGGTTTCCCAAGGTTTTTTTGTTTTTTTTGTTTTTCTGATTTTGGGGGGTCCAGCCAAAAGTCTCCCAGAATTGTTCTTTTTTGTTTTTTGTTTTCTTAAGGCTGTTTTAGTTCTTTTTTGGTTTTTATCCTTTATGCATATTTATCAGTGTTTTTTGGTTTTGATTGTGGCACTGATGCATTTACCTAATATTTATGAACATTTATGGAAAACCAAAACCCAGGCCCCATGGCCACCCCTTCTGTATATATATATATGTTATCCCAGTGGGTCAACGCACCAGTTTAACCAGTTCTTTGGTAAGTTTAACCCGTTTAACCCGTCCTTTGGACTTGCTGGGTATACTAATATGACTACTAATATGTTTATCCCAGACACTCCATGTATGGAATATATGCCGATCAGTTGGGGTGGTTTTGGGGGTCAATGTAGGCATACATATATAAGCCCCATGCCATGGAGTGTCTGGGTATTATATAGTATATCAAATTATAACTGAATATATATAAAGGCTGTGCTCATTTGGATCGGCTGTGGCCAATAGTTCAAGCTAAAATGCTGCATGAAGATATACAGTAGGACGTGCGAAGCAAACCAGTGTCGTCCCTCCGCGCTCGTTACGTGCGCGCTCGTCTTTGATCGTCGCCGGTGTGGCTCCGAAAGGTGTCTCCCCCAAGAGAGTCCCGTTGAAGGGGGATATGGGGGGATCCCGTTCTATGGCTTTGGGTCCAAACCGGGAAGCCTGTTTTTTGGGTTCTCTTTTTGTTGGAATCCTGAACAGAGGTCAACCTAATAGGAGACCACAATATAGTAATAATTGGATGCTCCAGGGTCCAGCTCTGTCATCACATTCGATGTTTCCGGGGGAAGAGGAATGAAGACTCTCCAGTTCCCCAAAACCCGTGGCCTGCGGAGGCTGGAGTCGTCGGAGTCGTCGCTGGCGAACTGTCGATGTCGTCGAACGATGGTCGCAACGATGTCGTCCTGGCGGACTCCTCATCCGCTGCAGGAGATTCTGAACCGAACGATCTTCTGTCCTGGCGAGGAGACGGGGAAGCTGTTCTGTTCTGGATCAGAACCTGTTGAGACTGAAAAGCACCAGACTTAAAGCCACTTGTGAATCTATGAGCATTGAGCATGTTGCAAATGAAGGCCTCTCAATTTCTAATGTTTAGGTTTTGTTGAGTCATGGGTCAAGACATTGGGGGCCTGCGCTGGGTGCTGTTACAGCCCTGAATGATGAAAGATCCCAAAGACGTTCTTTGTTTCCTTCTTGTATGTTCTTTTGTTACCTCTTTACGTACAGTATATATATATATGTATATTTATATTTACATGTGTTTCTATTCTACTGTCCTATTAATAAGCACACTATATGTTTTATAAAAGGATCTCAGACTGACTGGAGGAATCATGCCATGCAGGTTGTCACAGCGTGTTTCCAGCTTTCACAGCGAACCGTCGCGAGCCGTGGAGGAGCCAAAAGGCATGAAGATCGAGAAGCTCTTTCGTGTGGAGGACGGGTTGATGGACTTTTTTCCGTTTCCGGGACGCCGGACATGCGTGTCTCTTTGTTTTTTCGCGCGCCGGACTTTTTGGGGGGGCGAGACGAGTATACGGCCTCGGAGCCACAACGAGCTTACTAAGACCATATATATATATATATCAAAACCGGAGGAAACGAATGGCCGCTTGGTACCGCTTGGTCGGCTGGTTCTACTATGAGGTGTTCAATGGTTTTCATGGGAGGTTGCCAGTGGTTCGGATTTCGGTGTCGGTTTGACCTGGGGATCCTTAGGGGTAAATGTTCACACCCACAACTCCTGGCACACCTGCGGGTCCGCCCGCGGGTCGGCCGGTCCGCCACCTTGCCAGGATTCCCGGATGTGGAACTCCTATGAGAGGCGCAACAAAAACGCACAGAACCAATTCTTCGTACCCTAAGAATCCGGGCCCGAGCGGGGGCTGTGTTTTAAGGCGGGTGCGGAAGTTCTGTGGAGAAGGTGGAGTGTCGCTCCGAGTGCCATGGAGGGCCCGTTCGGATTCCTAGGGTAGGGTCTTTTTCAGCATTTCATGGGTCCGAAAGAGAAGCAAAATGAAATAACACATATTTTTTCAACAGCTGCTTCAGGCGGCTACGAAGGTATATGAGCGACGGACAAAATTATTGATTGACTTATTTAGGCACGGCATGACCCTAAACCTATGTTGAGGGTTTTGTTTCTGTGGAAAACAATATGGTCCCCACCAAAAACGATAATATTGTTAAGATGTAGTGGGTACAAAGACGTTTGTGGTTAAAATATGTTATTGCATTTGAATGTTTATTGAGCATATTTGAGCTAAACCGATGGGTGCAACTTTTCATCAATGATAATCCCCGACAACTTCCCAAACGATAATCCAAACGATAAGCGAACGATAACCTAAATGTCACGCCAGGCACTCCGTAGACCTACTTCTCCACATTACCAGTGTTTGTTCCTGGGCCGAGCTACTAGGTCACCGCTTATGTGTTGTGATCCTTGCAGAGCCCAGTGCCACAAGAACCCAAGTGCATAATTCAAGTGCTGTGCCATTCCTGTGCAGAAAGCACTGTAAGCCTTTAATCTGAGGTTGTGAATTATATTTTGTGTTTTTGTCTATGTGCCGGTATGCTATGCTAACTACGGTTTGGAGAACATTGAAGAACGATATGGACCCCACCAAAAACGATAATCATGTCAAATGGTATTTGGCTACACAAGTAATTTTGTCCGCTGCTCATATGAAGGTATTTTGATCAAGGTTGATCGAGCTTAGGGGATAACCATGGACAACCACTGTTTGTTCCCCGTTTCTGCAGGGGCAAGATGAGAAGATGACTTGCTTACTCAGCCGGCAGTAGGCCTGCTAAGCCATTTTCCGGGGGATGGTATACCTATGATCGTTGACGCAGGGACGAAGATGGTTGACGCTGCAAACCAGCATTGACATGGATTGATCCTTGATAGTCGACACTCGAGTGTCCATCGCTGCCTGTCCAGGAGTGTCGCATGCCTTTCGGAAGCTCGAGCACAAGAGGTGCGCAGCAGTAGGTAGGATGAGTGGTAGGCTGTGTGGGCTGGTGGGCCTGGCTCCTTGGGGAAATGTACCCAGCAGACCAGTTCCCATGAAGGACGACGTAGTCCGAAGTCATGGGAACTCAATTCATGGGTTCTTAGAACGATCGTTGCTGTACTTGCCACGCATTCACACTGGGTGTTCTTGATGCTCCTACATCAAGCAAATGTGATAAGCAATGCTGTGACATAACAATGGCTTGGAATGAGCATCGAAGCATTAGAAGAATTGGCATCAAGATGCATCAAGACTGAATACCTTGACATTGCTGACCTGACACTTCAATGGTTGTGGGAGTTGTGGGTGATTTTTGTTTTTGCCCTGGATTCAACAGGCTGTAGTCATGCTTCCTTCACTACTAAGGCTTGGGAGGCTACATGTGTTTGACTCATAGCAACATGTGATTCCAAGCACAGAGTGTCTCAGCCCCAACTGGTCGACTATGCGCATCCCCCTTCAAAACCATGCTGTGTATTGTATCAACTATGGCATCATTTCATTCATTCCACCTGTTGATGGTTTGGACATCAAGCGCCCCCCCCAGGTCGAACCAAGGAGGTTTCTGGGCTGGTCCTCTTTTCCACGAACGGCTCGGCCGAAAACGTACGCCCCGCGACTCGCGGATGTGTGTGTTTTCCAGGACGAGCCTGCTGATGTGCCTGAGTCGCAATCACTGGGTTTTGATCGGGGCTTGTTCATGGGATCGAGGATCGAAGCTCTTGGAGCCTCAACAGAGATAGATTTCTGCTTTCCACTAAGCGTGCTTCATGATCTTCACGCGAACTTGTCATGAGACATGAGAACTGAAGTTCTAAACGCACCCCACTCCTTCTTTGACGTGGGAACTTTGCATCTCCCAACAACGCACCTGCTTGCGCAATCGCAGTGAAGCACGGTATACACCCGTACTCTCTTTGGTGGGTCCCCGGGTGGCCCACATCGGTGTGGCAAGCCCCTCGGTGCGCAGCCAGCTGCTGTGATCAGGTCATTCGGACTCCGCACTCTGGTACACTTCAGGCGAAGCCGCTCACTGTGCACCTTGGAGTGGTCATGGGCCCTGGCGGCCCTGGCCCCTGGCCGTTCACGACCAAAGTCTGGTGACACCAAACCACCGCCCCGGGTCCGGATGGTGGATGATGGTGGATGATGTGGAGGATGGTGGTGTTCCTCCACGCTTCTGTTCATCTCTTTCAGATCGTCATTGCAACGGGTCAAGCGATTGGGAAGCTACAGTCTTTGGAGATGTCTTGGACAGCAGGTGTCTGCACACAGGATTCCCAACATATATATAAGTGAAGGTGATGAGGTAACCAGAAGATTGGTTCGCTGAGATCATGTGCATATGGATGCATATATGTGTGTGTGTGTTCTTTTTCCACCACTCCGGCCGAGTTCGGCGCGCGCCAGTGGGGAGAGAGCTGAGGGGCACTTCCTGACATGTGCCCCAGCGCACTGACTGAGCACCCGCTCCCAAGGACCAAACCGGGTTCACGATTTGGAATGATGTCAACAGATATTTGCAAACGCGAAAGGCATGCGAAAGGCCGGCGATACAAGCTCAAAAAGAAAAGCTTTGTTGGACAATCCCCATATGATTACGACCATACCAGGACCCTCTAGTCGGGGTGCCCTGTCTGGAAGCCATCCTAGGCCGGTAGTGAGGGGTAGTCCAGCCAGGACACCCCGACAGGAGGGTCCAGGTATGTTTTACAGTTCGATATATTTCTCCCACTTCATCTGGCCATCACCAACGTGGGCTTTCCGCATGGCAAGATGACGGAGGTGACCAACCGTGGGTGATGGTCACCCCCTTCTGGCGGTTTTCGGCCCGGACGATTTGGAACGGTTTTTGTCGGCCAAGGAGAGTTGCACCCGACAACTTCATGGGGCGTCTACGGCTGGAATGCAATGAGGCTCAGTCAGCCGAGCATGTCTTGGTAACAAGGAAGAAAACATTACTCGGTTGTTCGGCCATTGTTATTAGGAAAAGGATGCCATCGCCTACTCGTATTTAAACTAAGAAGCTACCGGACACGAGCGATCAGCCGTAACGGACTGTCCGTTGGATTCGTTGCTCGCATCGACCGTGTGGAGCTGGGCTGTTCGACGAGAGAAGGAACATCAACGGGCACAGCGTGTCTTTTTGGTCTTGGTATGTTTTGGTCTTGGCACAGCAGGGCGGCACTGTTGTTCTTCTTGTGTCCAAGCAATTCGTAGCTTCAGGCACCATGGCATCCAAGACACTTAATAGATCTACAGTGTTCTTGCTCAATGGGGTGGAGGCCGTGAAAGTCAGGGGAGGATCTGGTTTTCGTCCTGAGTGTGGCGTGTGGCGAGCGAGACCAGGACAACCAGATCCCAGTTCAGTTCAAACAGTTCTTGTACTGAACTTGATTGCATCCATTGATTTGGAAAAGCTGCGAATTTGTAGCATGTGAGTTTAACCGCTTCACCCACCGTAGCTGCCGATGTTGATACATGATCCAAATTGTAAGGGATTCCACACGGATTCCCAGCGCAACGGAACGCCTCGGGCGCGCGACCGGTCCGACCCGAAGCCCCAGAATCGTGAAGCGAAGCTCGTTGTGCCACGGTTACTGTGGGCGGTCGACTTGGATGGGCCCACTAACAAAGGTTTGGCAATGGTCATGGGGAAATCGACACAACCCTGAACGGGGCTGCCATGTAACTCTGGACTCTCTGGGAATCTTTGTGTGCCTGCGTGTCATACAGACCTTCAAAGCATTCCAAAGCATATCAATCTGGCTATCTCCATGTCTAAGCACAAGATGGTGCACAAAAGCTAGGATCAAAACACGGCCACTTTACATCACTTTGCCAACATCATATACAACATTACTATTACATGTAGATTCTCTAGATGCCCATCTCTGGGCTGGGTGAAGTTCCATTTGTAAAGGTCAAAAGCATGATGTCTTACACCACCAACAGGCGTACTTGTGGCACGGGACGGATCGCGCCTCTGCGGAGAACATCATTGGCACCTCGGTGGCACGCGCGGGCACGCGCAAAGGGCTCCAGTGCGACATTGGTCCATGCAGTTGGTGTTTTTTTTTCTGCACAAAAGGATCATTAGGTAGAAGATGGTAGAAGAGGAAGAGAAAGAAAACAAGTGCTGTCAGTGTCATGCTGGGATTGTTTTGCATGGTATACCTATTAGTAGTTAGTCGTCGATATGTCCCACGGATGTTTTTCAGCTCAACCGTCCAATTTCACATGAGAGGTCTCTCGAAATCTTGAGATATGTCACATGATATGTCCATGATCCGAGACTACTAGAGACTGCGACGCCCCATAGAGACTGCAACGGAAAAACGCCTTCAGCACCGCCTGAGATTCTTCAGGACACCCCAAATCGATCGGTTTGGGTGTCCCCAAATCGCTTGGCAGGACACCACTTCGACATGAAGCGCGCTGGGCCACTTTTTGCTGCAACCAAAAGGGAGAGTCGAACAGAGTCAAACTGATTTCTTGGGACACTTGTGGCGCCAGCTTTTGTGCAAGAGATTGTCTATGCGTAGATAGATATTGCATATTGCATATAGTATCCACTGCAAGGCTACCAACCGTTTTTACAGCCCCTCGCAGCTTAGTTCAAACAAGATGCCCATTCAGGTTTTCAGGTCAGGTATTTTCAAGGGTTGTTTGAAAGGGTTCCCACTTTGAAACAAGTCAAAAACACATCTTAAGATGTGTGTATATCTGTATGATTCTATATGTATCTATTTATAAATGTACTACATTCGAATTCTATTAAAAAAATATTAAACAAATGCAATTTGCAAGTTTGGGGTGCAGGTCGCCAAGCAACCGTACAGATTGCCCCCTGCAGAAGCGGTGGGAACCCGAGGACCGTCAATGCCAAAGCTCTTGGCCGAGGCCAAGAGCACGACCGATCCGATCGGCCCCAGATGTCTTCGGCGTGCTGAGACCGTTTCTGGCGATTGGTTTCCTTGCAGAGTGACCGTTGTGTGCTGATGTTGATCCGCGTCGGAAGCAGACATGAAGCTCCAAGAACCCGTGGCAGGGACTGTGGGATTCACCACTGACCTGCCTTCATTAGTGAACCATGTCAATGTCCCAACGTAGCTTCGAGTTCCCAATACTAATTTGGCTGCTCAACGACCTAGAGAAAACCAACAAACGATGGTACTGCTTGCCACAATCTTCGACTCAGACGGAGCTAGCCACCGCGGGTCACCGGGAATGAGGAGACCAAAGAACCTGTGACTGCAGTTCTTGGATTCCTTTTCTTGCTGCGGCAGGGCAGCATGAATTCACTTAGACTTAGATCAGAACAGATTAAAGGTATCTAAAAGTTGTGATACCTGGATCAAGGTAGTTCTAACATGGTAGTTGAACATGTTGGAAGCCCAAGCAAGAGACGAGTGAAGTCGCACGTTTCTTTGCTTGGGCCCCTGATGGCCACGCCCGGAACCCATTCCAAAACACCTCACTCGTCGGATGGCTAGACATCGCTGAATACCATCCGCGCTGGCAGTGGCACCGGTGCATGCCACTTGGCAGGCGCCTATTTCGCTGAAACGTCATGCCTCGCGGACAAGTACGCGCCCCCAGGGCCTGATGGTCTTCATGTCTCTTGGCGGCGGTCGGCAGGGGGCCGAAAGAAGACGGAGTGTCTCCGGCGAAGGAAACGGGTTGTGTCTCCGGCCAGTTGTTGATGTTGTGGTTCACCTTTTTTAACACCCTTACAAAGAAGCTTCTCAATCAACTCAACAAAAACTAAACAAAAGATAGAATCGAACAATGAAGTTCAACCAAATTCTATGACATTCCGTGAGAGTCTTTTATCAAGGACTTCGTCACTGGTGCCACTAGAGTTTAATTGTTCATGGCTTTCAGGCTTGGGCTAGGACAAGGCGACCTAATTTGCTTATAGTTGCTCTCCATGTCAATTGATGGAGGCCATAATATCCTGCTTTAGGGGGGTGTTTTTTCTTTGAATCACTGCTTTTTGTCCTTCCTTCAGACTCCGCTTGAACAACGTTACTTCCCTTGCTGTGTCCCTGCTACAGGTTGGAGGCTATCACAGACACTACGACCATCCACTTAGCCCAACTTGACGTTCCATTGTTTCGCGATCCAGTACCAGTGGCGTTGAGGAGTGTGGTGGTAACTGTTTCCAACAGGAAGGACATGGCACATCGGAAAGTCTTCCGTACCCAATTTCCGAAAGACGCACACAAACCCAGAGGTTCTGGGTGATGTGGAGATGCGGTAATCATGTTCAACCATTCTTCAGGGTCGAAAAAATCACCTGACCTCTTCAATCACTGGACTCGTCCTCGCGAACGACCCCAGGTCGTAGTTTTTGGTCGGGACGTCTGAGATTTCGTCGTCAGGCCATTCTCTTAGTTCGTGCTGCCCTTGGGCGAGTCTACGTCGAGACGAGGATCGATGTGGAGTTGGATCTTGTCGATGGGACTGGCGAGTCGAAAAGGACTCGTTTTTCACTCTGGCGAAGGAGAGTTCATCTCCTAATTGCGAACCAGGTCAAAGATTTGCAACATTGGCTTGGGACGTTGATGCTCAAGTTCAAGAAAACATGGAGCCATTCAAACCCATCATGACCTTCGACCTCCGTTCGACCATTGACCATTGAAAAACTGGCTGACCTGGTGTCGCAATGTAAAATCATGTGTATAGTTGTTTGGTAAAGCCTATCACTGTACCAGGAGTCACAAAGGGTGGTGTTGGTAGTACCTAAGTGAGTGGAGGCACCCTTTGTGACTCTTATTATATAAAAGGAATGGTGGGCAAGGAATTCTAGGGATGATTAGATGGGATTAGTCATGATGAGATTTTCTTCAGCTCCCGATCCGTATGGGTCTCTCCAGGTACACCAAGTGGCGGGGAGGACGGCTGAAGCGCATGGTTTCAGCCAAGCATGTGGTCCGAGAAGGCAAGTATGACAGTGCAACTTGCTAGCAACCCTGGGACACCTGGTTGGTCAGATTGTCGCGCAAAAAGCCGGGACCAGAACGAGTTCTTCGGGAGCACAGAGGCTGATTACACGGTGGGAGGCTTGGGATGGAGATCGTTGTTCGAAGACAAACAGCCAACACCCAAGGGTTAGTATGGGTTAGTCGGTTGTTTCTGTAAACTGCCCCTTACAATCCCCTGGGAAACTCCGTGATTCTGGACTTTTGGGTTTGCGAGTGTGTGTGGTGTTCCTTTTTTTGCCTCCGGAGCGATACATGATTGAAGGCACTTCTGTGCATCAGATTGTGGGAAAGTCACCTGGAACCCGGTTTGAATTAGATTGAATTACACGAATTTACACGTTTACATATGTGTACATTAGACTCCAACTGCCTTTGGAGGGTGTTTTGTTCTTTGCCTGGCCAAGTGGCCAAGTGCAAGGATCATCATGGATTCCTGATCATTACCCCTCAAACGAGCGCACACGATGTTCAACGTGCTTTCAAGAAAAGTACATTGAACCGCAAGTCTCCTTCAAAATGATGCACTTAGATTGCATTGGAACCTTTTGGAACTCGTTGCTTGCTTGGGAAAGCTCACAGGAAGTTCGTTTCATTGCACTTCAAGTCTTTGATTCAGCTTGTTCCGCTTGGCTTCCCGAACAAACGCTTTTCACACCTAGTAGGTCGTCCAACCGGTTTTCGTGTGTGTGTCGGTGTGGTCAGCCAACACGTGTTCGACTACTGAGGTCCTAGGGGACCGGAAGTATGCCTTCAACCGGGAAGCCCGTGAATACTGTGTCTCCAACACTGGCCAGCTGTATCCAGAGTACATGCCTCTACGACCGCAGGGAGCAGAGAGAGTTCTTTTCGGCAGGCAAACGTCGTTTACGACGTGCCAACCAAATCGAACAGAGCATGCGTCCACGAGGTGGAGGATGTGGACGATTGATGGTTGTGAGTTCCAGGACGTGTGATGAGTGTTTCTGTTATGTTTCATGTGACTTGATGCAGGGTGGCAACAGTTGACAAAATATGTTCACTACGTCTGAGAAAGGTCTCTACTAACCAGGATCATCCACTGTTAAAGGGACTGGGATATACCTAAACTTGGATGTGATGCGTGATTGGAAAACCACGACCGATGGACAAGTGGGACGTTGTTACAAAATAGATCAAAAAAGAATGAAATCGAAGAGTACGTGTAATAGTAGTTGTGTTGCGCAGTGGGGATATTATCAATGATATGCTTTGTTTCAGGCGATATTGATTGTTTGACTGTTTAAACGATGGTTTGTGCCCACAACCCGCCAATGATAAGGTTTGTAGGCCAAGTCGTGGTTGTCAAGACCAGTCGTGGCTTGTTCTTTCGGAGTGTGGTCGTTGCTTCTCAGGTTGCTCTACAGTAGATCTGATGATCCACCAGTCGATCTGCCTGGGCAGATGCTGAAGGAATGCAGCCAGCGTTGACGTGTGGCCATTTGGCCTCGCTACGTGCAGCCTCTTTCTAGACTTCCAACCACTATAAATATGATAGTGTTGACCGAACCACCATTGTTTTACTGTTGTTTCAGAGGTTCGATGGCACAATTCCCAAAAGGTGGTTTAGTAGTGGACCCCCATCTGTCTAGGACATCTTGGGGGAAACGTGCCATCTACTCGGAAATCACTGTACTAACTCAGGATTTTACGAAAACAGCTCAACAATTTTAGAACATCGTCTTTCACTTCCAGGGCTCTCAGAGCATTCATATTATATGTGAGAGATCCACGTACAGTGGGACACATCCCGCTCAGTTGTTGGCTCAAGGAACGTCAAGTTGGCTCAAGGCTTTGGCTCTCAATTTAAACAGGAGTCGCGGAGTTTCTTCAGCTTGGGTGACAGCTACCCATCGAGGTCGTTTCTTGAGACGCCTTAAACCCAAAAAACTGACACCTCAAACACAAACTGACGTTCTTGACATAGAACAAGTTAGGGGCTTGTTGATTGATTCGAGATGATGCCATCTCCTGAACTGCAGCTGAGCGTCCCTCAGTTGCTGAAAACGATGAATGGCCCACCTCGTGCCGCCATGTCAGCTTGCAGTGGCAAGCGAGTGGTGTAGTTTCTGAAATTGATTCAAAACCCCAAAGCCTTTTAAACTATACCTTGGTGTTTAAATCCTAACTCTAAAAGAGCAGTCTTGAATCCCTCAACCTGGCATTTGCACTACAATTGTATTGTTTCAAGCAACCAAGGTTCAGGGGTTCTTGGCCCTCAGAAATCACCCAACCAAGAATGTCCTTGGCTTTGACATGTTCCTGTCAAATTGTCAAATTGATTCATAAAGGCCGATGTGCTGGACGCAACCTGAAGCTTTGCATCGTCGTTGTTCAACAAAATAATTGTTTTTTATTCATTGCCAAGGGCGTTCGAGTTTCACTAGAAGCGGACTCAAATGGATCTCCGCATATGCAAAATGCATAATCAAAAAGATTACCGACTATTTTATTTCAGGAATGCGAAAACACATAATTTATAATTCTATAATATGATATGTTCCTTCATTGGATCGATCATATTTATGTAAGGAAATTATATAATAAATTAAATACTAGTGGTCGGCTTAAATCGTATTAATCCTTGGAAAGTCGTATCGGGAGGCTGTGCGTTAGGCAAGAATTTTTCTAAAAATAATAGTTAGAGGTCGAATATTGGCCGTACTAGTATGATTTGTCTCGAAAAATAATTAGATTAATTTTAAATATATTAGAATTTATTAATATATGATATGTAATATTTGTTGTTATTTATATAAAATTCTTTATAGTAGTTGTTTGGGTTTGTGTTATATAGAAATGAATTGGTCGATATCATTTTCCGATGTTTGATATAATTTCCGATTTTTTAGAATATATTTTTGGAATTTATATTAAATTAAAAAAATAACGAATGTATATTTATATTAGAAATAATTAATTATATGTTAAATTGATTTGGATTATATTTTTTTAAAAACATGATTTAATAAATTTATGTAAATATATTGTAAATTATGGTGATATAATAATACAATATTATATTATTTTTAATAGGATAAGTAGTAGGAAAAGAATTAGGTAGTGGTGTTGTTAGTGATTTTGTTGATTGTTGGTATTTGTTTTGTTTGATGGTTGCGAAGCACGTTTCGATTGTTATTTATTGGCGAACGAACAAATTTGTCCGAATTCTAGGGAACATTTAATTTCAATTCGAAAAAGAATATATTATATATTATTATACACCTAGAATTGTTGAAAATATTTAATATGTTGTAAGATTTTTATTTCAATCGAATTTACGGATATAATTGGGTCTCGAAATATAATATATTATAATATTTTAAAATATATTATATAGATTTCTATATGAATAATTGCATGATGTCTTTATTAAAAATGATTATAGAAAAATAGATTTAATATTTTCATTTAATTTAATTGTATTCAAAATATTTTAATATCTTCTTTCATATATTATAAATGTTCTTGAAAGCCGGAAGGAAATTCAAGATATTTTCTTATTTCGCGACACAGGTCTCCGAGACATTTCCATAGGTTTTTCCTTGCATTGATTCTTAATTGAATACAAAGTATGGAAGAAGAACCTGCAGAGTGTTCAACGCGTGTTTGTTTTTATTATATTCGAACAATGTAGCGGATATTGTTAAAGCTTTTAACCACATTCCCCGGTACCCGGTGTATGTGATGGCGGAGCAAGCAGGTGTCCCTGGACAAATTCTGACTCTATGGAAAGCGGCTCACAGCCAGCTTAGACGCAGATTCAAAGTGAGACAATTTTTGTCCCGAGAAGTGGTTTCAACCACAGGCATGCCAGAAGGAGATCCGCTTTCGTGCCTTGGCATGATCCTTTGTGACTTCTACTTCCATTGCTATTTCTCGAGGTATTTGCCTTCGATCTATGTATTCAGCTACGTTGACAACCTGTCTCTGATTTCGACGCAGGCCCCATTGCTGGTGCAGGGGGGCACAGGTTTTCCAAGTTTGGCTCCAAACGCTGGACTTGTCGCTGGATCACAAAAAAAGCTATGGGTGGAGCACTTGTCCACAGGCTCGGAAGACTCTGGCTGGAAGTGGCTTCACTATCCGATGTGGGGCTCGAGACTTGGGAGCACAACTTCAGTATGGCACCAAAGCTCAGGTGTCATCCAGAGATGAAAGACTTCGCTCTGTCCAATCTGTATGGGCTGTGCTGGCTCGCTCTGGCATTAGTTTAGAGCAGAAGGGGAAGGGCATTAAGCAGGCCATTTGGCCGAGAGCGCTCTTTGCGTCATCGGGAGTTTATGTGCCAGCAAATGCCCTGATGACACTTCGCTCCGGAGCAATGCGAGCGCTCCGAGTTGCACGGGCGGGAGCGTCACCCATCGTCCGGCTTGGCATGTTGCACGACCCGGAACTCGACCCAGACTGCTGGCAGTGGAAACAAGTACTCCTAGACCTCAGACAGATGGTGAGAAAGACTGAAGGAATTCTTGCCGCATGGAATAGGTTCATTGATGGCTACGACGGCATTCGCCAGCCTGGACCTTTCTCCAAAGTGCTTGAATTCTGTGGTCAGTTCGACTGGCACATCGGTCGTGATTTTCGGGTGCAGACACCAGAGGGCTTTTGTTTTGACCTAGGCAATCTTGCTTGGGAGGCGCTTGAGAGGCTTTTTCTAGATGCATGGTGGCTCAAACAGACCCGTTCCTTGCACCATAGGTGGGACTTCGCTGATCTGTGTGATTTCAACTTTGAATTGAGCTCCCAACGTCACTGGACAAGCTCTAAGCAAGAGGACGCCTTATTGCAGACTTGTCAAGATGGCAGCTTCTATACGGAGCAGGCAAAGAGTCACTGGGACGCTACAAAGCAACCACTGTGCCGATACTGCGCTGCTCCGGACACCATCACGCACAGATTGAGGACCTGTTCCAAACATGCGGATGTTCGACAAAAATTCCCGGAGCTTCACAACAAATGGAACAGTTTACCTGTTTGCCTCACACATCATGGCTTGTGTCCTAGGCTGGGTACTCAGACTGAGTACTGGAAAAGTTTATTTGAACTCCCAGATCTCACAGGTGACTTCCAGAGCTCAGACCATTCCGTCCGTCACGTTTTTACGGACGGCTCGTGTCATTATGGCAAACAGCCGGCGCTTGCGTTGGCTGCGTGGGCGCTGGTCTCCCCCACTGAGGTATTAGCTGCTGGCCCTGTGCCAGGCCTCGTCCAGACCATAGGACGCGCTGAACTTCTAGCATTGCTGGCGGCGGCGGAGTATGCCACAGTCTATCATTCCTCCAAAGATGATAGCTATGATGCAATTGACAGATACAGATTTTAGCTATGTGTTTAAAAATTTGATGAGGAAATCTGTTGATAAGGTCATGGCAAAGGGGCAGCAGGCTATGGGCACAAATGATGTGTATCAGATGGGTGAATGCAACGAAAATATAGAAAATCTATTGAAAATCATAGAAAAACGCAAAAAAACAATAAAAAAACACACACCTCCAGGGCGTCGTACTCTCTTGGGAAAATAGAGGGCTTGTGTGGTTTTGGCTGCTTGATTTATTGATTATTTGGTGGATTACCAATATAAAATAAATATCGATAATATTTAGTGATTATATTTGGTTGTTTGTTATTGGGGAGATTTGCTTGTTATTGGTGGATTACCTATCCTTTCTTTTTAATTTCCTTCCTTTAGATAATTCAATTATTTGGCATTTATTTGCGTTTGAAGAACATATAATAATGAATAGATTATGGATAGAAAAAAATATAATATCGATTTATTGGATACGATATATCATGGATATGCAATTTTTAATGAACGTATATTTAATGAATAGATAGATAGAAAATAGATGAATATTAAATAAATAGAGATAAGAAGGGGTGCGGGAAAATACATCGAGACGGAATAGATAATTTCAATTGTTTAATAAATTTGTTGTTTTAGCCATATTATTGCTTAATTAATTAATCGATTAATTAATATATGAATAAATTCTAAATTATATAAATTCCAAAAAAATCCGAATCAAATTCCGATAATTCCTATCATTCCGGACAATTTCTATACAATATCCAACAAATTATTAATAATACTAAATTATTGAAATGCAAATAAAAAATATAAAATATTCAATATATAATTAAATTATATTCTTTCTATGCAATCAATTTCTCCAGCATTGGCATTCGTGAGAAAACCGTTGTTCTGCAACGATCAAAATGCGAATTTCCCGTGGTCCGAAGCTTGCTTCGCGTGCAAAACGTGGTCATTTGGCAAAGACGGCCACGAATTCAAATGGCGCACTAAGCATGAAGAATAATCTCCCGTCAAAGGCAAATACACAAATGCCCTGCAGGGGAGACAGCCTGCAGAACCTACAACCATTGCGATAGCCGCCCATCCTGCCTCCAAATGGATACCCACATTC